ATTGTTCTCGAAAACAGACCACAAAGGCTCAATAATATTGATATCTGGCGATTGTGGGGGCCATAGCAGACGTGACACTTCATCTTCGTGCTCAGAAAACCAGTTTTGGACGATGTGAGCTGTGTGAACACGGGCACTGTCGTCTTGGTAAATGGCATCGCCATTGGGGAACAAAGTTTGCACCATGGAATGCACCTGGTCGCCAGAAATGGTCACATAGTCGTTGGAAGTGACGTGACCTTGCAGGGTAATGATGGGTCCGACAGAATACCACGATATGGCTGCTCATACCTTGATTGAACCCCCGTCGTGTTTCAGTTTTGGCAGCAAACAATCTGGATCGTAAGCTTAGGATGGCGTTCTCCAGACGTAAACTCGGCCAGAAGTCAGAAACAGTGTGAAGGTGGACTCATCCGACCAAATGACAGTCTTCCATTGCTCCATAGTCCAGGTTTTATGACTTCGGCACCACAATGTCCTCTTAGTGGCATCTTGATCACTGATGAGTGGCTTTGGAATTGCAGCTCGTCCAGAAATACCCTGCTCGTGGAGTTCCCTTCGTACTGTTTTGGTGCTGACAGGGTTTGTGAGCGTGACACTCAGTTCAGCAGTCACTTTTGCAGCTGTAGTCTTCTTATTTTTCGTCACAATCCTACGCAATGTTCGTCTGTCTCGATCACACAACACACATTTCCGTCCACGCTGGTATTTATCGGATGCGTTTTTTTCAGTCCTCCTGTGTGCGGTCATAATCTTGGATACAGTCCCTCGCGAAACACAAAAAACCTCGGCTACCTTGGTTACGGAAGCACCAACCATACAGGCCCCAACAATTTGCCCGTGTTCGAATTCTGTCTGCTCTGACGTGATGCACTAAAAACTGCACAGAACACTGTCTCGACAACAAATGAAGCTTGTAGGTATTGCGGAGGTTGTACAGGTAGTGCTGTTGGGCAGATAAGACAGCAAACGTACAAACGTCGCTAAAATAAACACTTCAATTCAGGCATGTATTTCACGAGGTGTTTGTACAAGCAAGAAATACTGTTATAATACCACCAAGAAGTAAAGTTGGAAAACAACCAAATTAAATTTAAATCCTAATATTGCGTGTATTTCTTAAAAGGAAACATAATTTAATTTGGGGGGGGGGTAATGTAGAGGTGTAAGAAGCCATTGCTGGAGATGCTGAAGGGGACTTTTGGGCACTCATAAGCCCCATAGAGATGGTGGTAATCGTTCTTTTAGGAGAGTGTTTTAATAATATTTCTGGATGTTGGAAAAACTTCCTTCTTTTTTGTCATGGCAGTCCCTGTACTCCGCCCTTGGCAGTAGTACCCATGTGTGATTACAGTTCTGAGTGTATGAACTGCTGATCATGTGACGAAACTGTTTAAGTACTGAAGTTCATATTTTTCATCTAATGGCCCTGCGACGGTGTTTGGAAACCAAACTGGCCGAAAGGAGTCGGGAAATTTCCGATTGGCTTAGGACTGCAGAGCAGCATCGTGTAGTGGCACAGGTGTTCATAAAAACTTCGTTTGCACATGTGGATATTCATAAGACGCACGTACAGTATATCGGTTCAACACGGGTGAGTCTAAACCATAAGTATAAGCAAATAAATGCCCTCTTTAAGGTTCGGCCACACAGCGCTACGCTATGTTCGCTACGTACGCTGAGTACGCTGTGTACACTCTGGGACGCAGCTAACATAGGGAACATAGCGTACGTAGCGAACGGAAGTCTGTGTGGCCAGTCACATTGGCAATAAAGAGAGATATTTTACTGTTCTTATAGCGAAATTAGCGTACGTAGCGTGCGTCGCGTACGTAGCACTCTGTGTGACCGAACCTTTAAAGGCTTTAAAGTGTCTTTTATTTACCTGTACTTTGTCACTGGATTCTTCAGAGCAAGTTATCGATAACAAATTATTTAACTGTTCAGGATATTGACATATGATCAGTGAGCACAGTATTTAGTTATCTGTGAGTGATCAAAGGCAAATGCTTTTAATTTTCGGCTGCCTCACAAAGTTTCATTCATAACACTTTCATTATGCAGTCTTGCTCATGAGTTATTTTAGTGTGCAATAGCCTTTCACACTCCCGTCTGCTTTAACTACTAATAAGTGCTGTAATTCTAAAGAGCAGAGATTCTCTTGATAACCTAAAAGTTACTCTTCGGGTCGAAGAATTTCTCACTCTTTGTCACACTCAGAGGCTCAGTTATTTATTGCCATTTTCAAAAACGCCAGCCACTTGACTCTCTCCTGACGAAGTTGAATCCAGTAGACGCCCTCCACTTTTATGTTATCCTTCCATCTACGACTAGGTCTCTTCCACTCAGATTTTACCTATTGCTAACTGAAGGCAGAATGAAGAAAGCAGTCTTCTGGGCTTTGGCGCCGTGTATATGTGGTGTTAACCGACGTTTCGGAGGAACGTATCGCCCCCATCTTCAGGGTTGAAGAAAAAGTATAGGTAAATNACTTTGCATGTTCTGTGCAGATTTATGTTACCCTATAGCCGTCTTTTTAAACAGTTCATGTTAAGTCGCCAGGGCAAGGCCCGTCCTCGGGTTTCGGGTGGAGATGGCCACCATATATGGAGTGTAGTTGCGTATTTATTGAATAAACAGTCGCGGACAGCCGACAAGTGATGGTCCCCCAGCTCGAAAGTTTGGCGTACGGCTAACAACTCTTCGCCGTAAAGGAAAACTTCGAAAGGAATGCAAATTTGTCGGATAAGTTTCTTATCCAAAATTATCTACAGCAAGGAGATTCTTCATCCCCCGGAAAACCAGATGGGACTGAAATTAAATGGGACACGTCAACTGCTCGTCTGTGCTGATGATTTGAATCTACTGGGAGATAACATGGATACCATAAAGAGAATCACGGGAAGTTGATTCTAGTTAGGGATTTGGTCTAGAAGTAAACAGAGAAAACTATGTGTATGTTGCTGTCTCGTCACCAGAATGCAGGGCAAAATTACTATATAAAGATAGCTAACATCCTTTTAAAATGTGACACATTTCAAATAATTGGGAACGATAATAGTGCATTAACATCAGATTCAGACTGAAGTCAAGAGGAGATGGAATTCGGGTAGTTCTTGCTACCATTCAACCCGGAACTTTTTGCTACTAACTTGCTGTGTAGAAACATATAAATCAGAATATACAGAACTAAAATTTTGCCTGTGGCTTTGTATGGTTGTGAAACTTTGTATCTGACATTAAGGGTAAAACATAGATTGAGGGTGTTTGAGAATAGGTTGCTGGTGAGAATATTTGAAATATTGAATATATTGAAAGTCGCTACCAAGCAATGGCTATTGAATACTGTAATGGACTGAGAATATTAGTTTGCCTACGATAGTAATTTTTGAATTGTACTAACGAGTTGTATAAGTGTGCAATAAATTCTATTACAAATTCAAGCCCCTCAGTATAGTCACTCAATTTCTTGACAGTATGAACATAGAGTAATTATTACAACCATAGTTTGTTTATTTTTATTTATTTTTACATGATACATAAATGTTTATACAATTTTAAAATTGTGCCTATATGACCCCACAACCTTCCCAAACCCATATCCATCCATCTATGGCTCTAGAGCCCTTTGTTGGACCTTGGCCGAGTTTTCAGTTTCTTAGCCATATACACAGTCGGTAGGACTCCTTGGACGGGGGATCAGCCCGTCGCAAGGCCTCTACCTACGCACAAACACAGAATAAACACATAGACATCCATATCTTGAGTGGGATTCGAGCTCACGATCTCAGTGTTCGAGCGAGCGAAGACAGCTCATCTGTTAGACCCATATACTAGCATTAATTAGTGTTCGAAGCTGTAGCAGACTCAGGTATTGAGGTCCAATATAAGAAATAAAAGTACAAAAATGTTATATCGCTCTTTATATCATGGGTCTTGTCTAACTGGTGACTAGGAAGCCATATGCGATGCAATACATAAAGCAACGTAAGTTAGTCGCTCTTTCGTCGCCAGATGGTGACACAGACACAACTGGTTTAAGTGGTCGATTTGTCAATCACCTCATAATGCCATGGCTCTGAAGAGTGGAGTAGGAGGTTGATGTAACAGGCTTTACACATTAGATATGAACTTTATGCTGAATAAGAATAATTCTCGGTTTATGTATTGCAGTTCATTGACTTTCAAGTGTAGATAAAGATTTTTTTTTAATTCTCTTATTGGGGGGTTGAGTCCAACTGGGTCCACTCGACACGGCGGTCACTGATTTGCCTATTATAGTCTGCCCCGGGTGATTATGATTAAGGAGAATTTGGTGGAATGAAGATTGGCAGGGGACACCGAAGTACTGTTGAGAAAACCGGTGGGCAGCCAGCGACTAACCGCTTGAGCTATGGCGCGGCCAGATTAAGATGTTAGTATTGGTTGTTACTGTTTCACCATTTTATGAAGTGTATTAAGATTTGTGTATGAGATCCATTACGGGCCTACGCCTAGCGATGTTGATGATGCGTGAGAGATAAGTAGTTCCAATTTTTCAGTACAGATCATTTTAAGCAAAACAAAAGGGAGTGACGCGTAGGGAAGTGCGTTTGTTGAGGCGAGACGCAAATGAAACATTTCGGTAAATAACAACTAATTTATATGATTCGATACTCTCACATCCGCTCACATCGCTGGTTACGAGGATTTCTGTCTTCACTGTTATGACCGGTGTAGTCCATTGAAAGCCAACAGACATTTCGGAGGAACAAATCACATCCATGTAAGATTTGAGGCTTTCACGGCGGTGACTATGAAGAAAGCAGTCTTCTGGGATTTGGCACCGTGTATATGTGGTGTTAACCGACGTTTCGGAGGAACGTATCGCCTCCATCTTCAGGGTAGAAGAAAAAGTATAAGAAATCTGCAAGCGACAAGACCGTGAGATCGGTAAAAGCAGGTTAACACCACATATACACGGTGCCAAATCCCAGAAGACTGCTTTCTTCAAATCACATCCATTTTCAGGATAAATGTTAAATGCTTCACGCTGGTTTCTTGCTTGGCTTATTCTTCAGCTCTGAAGATAGAAGCGACAAATTCTTCCAGAACGTCGGCTGATGTTCAACAGACCACACGGCGTTATATCCCAGACGTTTTATAGAAGTCTTCCAGAAGCTTGTTTATTTATTAGAGAACGGCAGCATGGCCAAAGCCAGGGCTCAGAGCTACATGTCCCAGATGTTAAATATCCTTTCGCTTGAGTTTCTTCATCTGGAGCCAGAGGCCGCCCTTGGCAGCCAGTAAGAAGTGGTTCGGGTCTGGGATAAATGGCACTGGTGTGCGTTTTGTCCTGCTCAGCTCGAAGTTTGATATTATAGCAGCAATTCCTGCCTTTACTTGCATCATTGCGAAACGAGAACCTGCCAGAAAAGTACAAAAAGCATTTTCACAACATAGTCAATATGCCTAGAATATCTTAAATTATCCTCTAATTAATCCAGCTGGGTCCACTCGGCACGTCGGCCATTGGATGGGCTATTGTACCTTCCTTTTTGATTATGATGAAGGAGAATTTGGTGGAATGAAGATTGGCAGGAGAAACAGAAGTACTCGGAGAAAACCTGCCCAAGCGCCATTTTGTCCATCTCAAATTTCACTTGACCAGACCCGGGATCGAACCCGGGCCGCCGCGGTTGGAAGCCAGCGATTAACCTCTTGAGCTATGGCGCGGCCCTATCCTCTAACTTCCTCTTCTGTCTTCCGAGTGGACTCACCCCCATCAGAATTCTGTTTGCAACATCTGTCCCCCACCCCCAGTCTAGTCATGTTATTTGCTCTTACTAGTGCCCTCAATTGCGCAGCTGGGATTATACAGCTTCAGTAGGAAAATCAGCAAATATATCCTCATTATTATTCGTGATGTTCACCAAACTCGTAAAAATTATCGCTGTAGAAAAATTAACAAATTTGGTAAAAAAAAATGTTCTTACCCTATGGTACAGGTTACAGAAAACAGATTTACATTTTCAAGGAACCGAAACTTTCGATAATTGCATATATGCCTACTGCTTCGTAACTATCTTTAATTAATATAATTTATATTAACTATATCCAACATTCACAGTACACGTCCGATACGTACAGTTCAGGAAATTCCAAGCATATTCACATCTACATCGAACCACCGTACAGTGCAGAACACACCGAACGTATACACGCCCAGACAAGGAACACATACGCCATATTGTACAATTATATAAGGATACATATCGTGGGAAAGGCATTACTAATATCCACACACTACAACCCGCACATCGTAAAAACTTGTCATTGGCCTTCACAACCGGGCTTACTTAGTATAAAGCTTTTACAACAAAGACCTACAAACAACATACATGCCCATTTTTACTACGCTGTAGCAGTGAAATCCTAAATATTTAAGTTGGCGTACACATTCTTAACCTACCATCGGAAAACTTTCACATTATAAATATACTTTTAATATTTTTAATAATATATTTAACACATTATAAATTTTGATATATGATATACCTTTATTTTTATCTTATTTATGTATTTGCTACTTTAATTATAGCACAAACTTGAGGCAAATTTTTATGTTAGTACATAATACGACGCGTTGCACCGATAAGGATCCATATCGGTATTCCAGTGACTATACATATTCTGCCTGAATAACTGCCTGATGATAATCTTATACGACCGAAACATGTAGCAACAACAAAGATCGAAATTAAAACTGAGTATTTGTTGTGTTGATGGTAGACATAATTTATATATATATATATATGTTCATAAAAGACAAAACCAACTTTTTGTCAGAGAGGATGTTATATAAGGATTATGACGTCAAGGGTTCAGTTGAATAAAGCCTCTGGTCGTGAGTCTCAAGGGGGTTGGCGCCAAGAAAAACTGATTGGCGGTAAACCGCCAGTCGTAAAGTGACTTTGACTTTGACTTTGACTTTGACTTTGACCATGACACTGACTCTGACCATGGACGACAGCTGGAGACTAGAGCCTAGTTCTCCTCGCATCTGCAGACGGCACCCGGTTGGGAAAAGTTGGACCTTGTGGCATACAGAAATTGGTAAATTCATTGAAACTGATAAAGGATCGTGGACTTGACGGTATTCCAAACGAATGTGTTACACAGTTTCCTAGAAGACCACTGGTACATCTAACACATTTATACTTACCTAAACAGATCCTCGGTCCATTGCCGAATGGCAGGTAGACATACTTGTGTAGATTTTTCTTGTTCTCTTCGCTGAAACGTTCTGGATCGAAGATCAATGGATCGTGGAAATGCTGAGGATCATAGTGGAGGGCATACAAAGGGATTACCACTGGAGTCCCTGCTTCGACCTCAAACGAAGCTCCAGACGGTGTTTCAAGTTTGAATGGCTTCGTGCACTGTCGTGGTAAGAACATGGCTGGAGGATACATCCGCAGAACCTCTGTTGGCCAATAGAATGAAATTGGTAAAGCATATGATAGCGTCATTTACATACATATTTATATATATACTACGCCAGGGGATTTCGGTGTAGATCAGTATCCATTTACTTGGTTACTCCATCTCCCTGGTCATTTGAAATTTCTGTTTTACTCTAACAGCACTGCAACAAACTTTTACTTTATTCAATAAAAAGAGTGCAGTGTAATATTTTTTTATTAAATCGGGCATGCTGGTCTAAAATTGGCATACTAAAATTTTAAATGTGCATATATTTTTGTTGAGCTGTATCCTTTATACGCCACCAACATGCATACTACTTAGTATTCAGTTGCAAGCAACGGTGTTATGGAAGCGAGAATAAACTTGTATTCACCTGAAGACAAATTATATTCTCACATTATGCTTGACAAAAATTATGAGAAAAACATTAATTAAGTATAAAAATGCAAAAAAAAAAAAGTCCTTTATATTGGCTCAGTTAACAACTGCTGCTGGATGTGAAACTTTTGTGTCCACATTTGGAGCCAACGCTAGTAACAGGCAGGGTGAAGAACATAGTCAAAGGGGCACACGTGATAACCGCGCCAACACAATTGGAAACAATATATACACAACGCCCATGCCGCTGTTGCAAAACGAATCCAAACAAAATGATAATTGGATAAAGGACAACTGCCCCAAGCAAAATATTGAAGTTTTAATTGTTTTAATGATTTTTAATGTTTTTAAAAGAGTTGGAGATATCACCTTCACAAAACATACGTGAAGTTGCACATACTACACAGTGAAACAGTTTTAGCAAATAGCGACTCCTGATTGTGGCCGTGTACAGCCGAAACCTGTAGTGAGAAGGAGAGGGAGGTAACAAAGGAGTTGCATTGTGGCGGGAGGTGTAGTGTGTGAATGAAGAGTACATTAATGCAACAGGATGCTTAAATAGTATTATTTTGCCTTGTCTAGATTAGAAAGGAAACCAATAAGTAGAGCACCAACCTTGTCCTATATCAGATATGTCCAAAAGAGTTATCCTTCAGTAAGTTTTTTATTTTCCTACACAGGTCCATGGAATTTGAATTTCTATCTTTTTTTCTCTACATGACTTTACATTTTAGCTATTCCCCCGTTTGCTCTTCAGCAACAAATAATTTTGCGCCTTACACTAGCAAACTCAATCCCAATTTCTTTGTGTACTAACTTGTAACCGTTCCACTTGCATTTGTTATTTTGTTCTACAAATCAAGACGATTTGAAATATGCTTTATAAAAATCAATTATTAAATCTTCTTATCATATATCTCTATCGCATCTCTAAGTAAGTGTTTTCTAAATTCTATTTGTATATCTTCTTTCTAAACATCAGAGTAGACAAGCCAGTCTTATGGAAGCTGTTTTAATTTCAGAACTGATAAATAACTGAAACGTTTCCNTGTAAGTAACCATTCTACTAGTGCATGCAACATACCTGAGAAAACCATATCCAAGTACGTCATCTCCTGGATGCTATCGAAAGTCAGTTCGCCTCCGTGCTTCTTGAGGACAGACTCCACTTCTTCTCTAACCTTCTCCTGTATATCGGGGTTGGTCGCCAGAGCGTACAGCGAGAAGCTCAGGGCCGTGGATGAAGTTTCGAACCCATCTCCGAAAAATGTAATCGCTTGTGCCACAACGTCATCGTCACTGAAAACTGTGAGAAACAAAAGAGCCCTGCATAGTGTTCGCATGTTTCCTCACGGGCGTTGTCGGAATCTTCAGCTGCGTCCTCTAACAACGAGCTTTAAGTGAAAGTAAAATTATTCTTGTGTTTCAAGTCAAAGTCACATTGCGACTGATAGTCAGTCAGTGTTTCTATCTTGGTGTCGAGCACCGTCCGGGGCTCATGACCAGAAGTTTCTTCTTATTTGAAAGTTACTGTCCTGTCCATATGGGGCACCCTCTCTGAGGAGAGGTCGGGTCTGTCATTTGTCAGTCATAGTCGGTAGTATTAGTCCATTGTCAGTATGCACAATTATTTACAAGTTTAGAGTTAATACCCAATTTTATGTACTATATATACAAGGACTCTGTCAGTCCAGGCTCAGTTGAGCAGCACGCAAGGACTCTGTCAGTCCAGGCTCAGTTGAGCAGCACGCAAGGACTCTGTCAGTCCAGGCTCAGTTGAGCAGCACGCAAGGACTCTGTCAGTCCAGGCTCAGTTGAGCAGCACGCAAGGACTCTGTCAGTCCAGGCTCAGTTGAGCAGCACGCAAGGACTCTGTCAGTCCGCAACACGCAATGAAGTTCTATGGAGGGTTGAATTATAACTCCTTTACATTTTTCATCTCGGCTCTGGGTATGGTGATTTGTCACCTCCACACTCAGGACAATTTAGCTGTGGATGAAATACCCCGCGGTGAGTATTGGCTACGAGACTGTGTGAGCCCCAGAGCCGGTCTGGGCGCTGTGGAGGAAGGCCCCGGACCGGGATCGAACCCCGACTTTTCGGCCATCTACCATGTAGTCTGTCTCCATACCTACTGAGATATCCCGGCTGTATTCATAAGACGGTATTATCGTGTTAACATGGGCAAGTAGGCAATCATTTTATGTTCCATACCCAGACTATAATCGCCATCTCAAAGGGACTGGATTGATGATCCAATACACCAATTTACTCGTATAGCAGCCATACCCGGCTTGCAGAGAGGATACTGCAGTTCCCGCTCATTAACTTACCGTCTCGCTATACACACTGACTTTTACGAAGTAAAAATTGGTTCTTCCTTGCATTCTAATACTCTACGAGTATTAGGCCACGCCATAACTCAAGCGGTTAGTCGCTGGCTTCCCACCGCGGCGGCTCGGGTTCAATCCCGGGTCTTGTCAAGTGGGATTTGTGGTGGACAAAATGGCGCTGGGGCGGGTTTTCTCTGAGTACTTCGGTTTCCCCTGCCAATTTTCATTCCACCAACTTCTCCAACATCATAATCACCCGGGGCAGGTACAATAGGCCAATCAATGGGCGCCGTGCCGAGTGGAGCCAGCTAGACTCCACCCCCCACTAAGCGAAAAAAAAAATAGTCTATTAGGTTTATTGTACCGGTCACGGTAGTCGAGCGTCTAAGGTATGTACAATTTTCGCTCGCTCGGAAACCGGGATCGTGTGTTCGAATCACACACAGGACATGGTGATCACTCGTTCAAGGATTCCTACCGTATGTAAAATGATTATGAAACTGAAAATCAGAGTCCATGGCCCAATTGGGTTGTACAGCCAGTGAAAAAATAGGTTTATTATCGGGATATAAATTTTGTTATCAGTCTCAAGCCAGGCCTCTAGTCATATCTTTCCCATTCTGCGATTAGTAACTCTTGCATTTAGCTTATAAGGATCTATCAAATATTGGCCCTGATAAATAACATATAAATTCCACCTGGATCATTTTATACGGACTTGCCTTCTGATAACAAACGAAATAAGGGACACCTAATGTCAGAATAGGACCTCGACTAAGCCACGTCCCTTTCCTTCAAAATCCTTCCTAGGGCAGCAAGCATATCTGTTTCCATCATTCGATATCGTACAGTCCAGTTACTAACAGAGTCCTCAAGTACTCCTCTTCTCCAGGAAATGGAAAGAAGGTGACTTTCCTCCGCAGACTGTTGTAGCTAATCTAACGAAACCCGTTAATCCTTGTACAGACGCTGATAATAGCTGAGATGATCAATGAGTTCCGAGCATTTTATGAAGACAGAGGGCTCATCATTTTGAGAAATACGGTCATTTGGCCCTTATCCTGAGCCAGAGTAATCAAGTCTACATCCTCATATCATATCTCTGTTATAATCTCTTCCAACCTATGTTAAATTTTCCGAGTGAGTCCTTCACTCAAAGGTTTCCTATTAATATCAATGTATCCATCCCCATATTCGTACCATGTACTTGATCACCTTAAATAAAATCCTGAAAAAATTTTGGCTAACTGAGAGACTAGCAGCTTCCCAAGAAGGATTCTTCTTCATAGCATTACAGTGGAACCTCATACCATGCGTCGTATTACAAGGGATTCGTATATACTGCGTTTTTAGTCGTGTCCTAATACAATTACATGTCTTTTACTTCGTAAAAGTTTCTGTGGCATATTATGGTTACAGTAGAAGACTCGGAAGATGAAGAATTCGGATTCAGGGCGTAAAGTCCATAGCGCGCTTTAAATTAGTTGTGTTTCTGGGTAAAGTGATAAACTAAATTACCTGAGTACTTCGTAAGCAGTGTAAATATATATATATAATTTAATGGTCTGTAATATTGGCGAAACATTAATTCGAAATTTTCCTTATGTTTATGTATTCTTTTCGCTGCATAAATATAAATAATAATATAAGGGATTTCATAATTACATAAATTCAGTTTCACACATGACATGAATAGTGAAGCTGTCCCACTTAAACTCGCGTTATATCGAGGGGTCACTATGTTTTTTATTTAAATAATTTCAGATGCTGCATGACATAACACCCAAACTGAATTTATGAGAATCATTTGCCATTTCTGTCTGCATCCTATTCAGTAAACGCGGATGGTTTAGTAGACATACGAGTAAAAGACAATACATACTGTTCTTCTGTGACGCGAAGTCGTGACCGTTGTCTGTGGCACTGCTCTCAGCTGCCTTGTTCTTCAGGTTTATAAGATACTGGAGATAGTCTGCGCGATTCACGTTCTTCTGTTCGCGCTGCATCGCCACTTCCTTCACCACTCGCCGAAAGAAGTCCTCCAGAGTCGTCGTTACGAACCTACAACATTAATTCTGGGTCACTTCACACTCGTTTAGTGGAGTAACGTTTCTTTGAAGAGTTCAAGACATTCCTTTGTAAGAGAAAGCGAGAAATGGTGGGCAGGAATATAGATATGTTCAAACTGCTTAGAAGTGTGCTTAGAATCTAAACGCTAACATACGCGTAATTCCAGTTGAATTTGTCCTGATGTTTCGGCATATATTTCAGGCTCCGTCTTCATTGCGAATGAGGTTGATGGAAGACGAAGAAAAGACTATAAGAAATAGTCTCTTAAATTGTCAAGAAATTCCCAGAATTTTAAGGAGCCAGAAAATACATCTCTGCCTTGACAACACTCCGCCACTGTTTCATATCCTGACCGAGGTGAATTCAGTCCGCAGCCTTCCAACTGTTTCTTTGTGGTCCAATTTAATGCCATCCTTCCATCTGCGCCAGAGCTTTCTAGTGGTCGCTTTCCTTCGGGATTTCTAGTCCTTGCTCAATAGATGAATTAAATGCAGTGAGAATTGTTAAACTAGCCTAAACATTAAATTACGGGTAGAGCTCCTAAACCGTGCTTTCCCGTAGCTCTGACTTCTGTTTATACAAATCCTGGGTTGTCAATGCCGTACGTATGTTAGGTAATATTTTTTTTTATTCAAATTTTAGCAATCAGAATATTACACAATTCTATAAGCTACAGTGCTGATTACTCATTAGATATACTAATGACTAGTGGCATGAGCAGGTTGATATCCAGCGAAATCACCTGTATAATCTATAATTAGTATCTATACCTTAACTTAAGAATAGTTCACTTGGCCACAGTTTTTTGTCTTTTGTTGCGTTAGGTAATATAAAAAAATAACTCAACGATCGGTTTAGCTCACGAGTTTGCGAGTCAGATTCGAGAATAGATTCTCGTGTGTCATACTGTTATATTCGATCACAGTGGCCGTGCGGTCTACGTCATGAACTGTCTTTACTCGTTCGAACGCTGCGATCATGGGTTCGGACCCTACTCAAGGCATGGATGTCTGTCTGCGTTTATTCTGTGTTTTTATAGGTAGCTGCCTTGCAACGGGCTGATCCCCCATCCAAGGAGTCCTACCGATTGTTTTAGGATTAAGAAGTTTCACGGCTGCCCTGTGCTCCAAAGTGTGAACAGAAAGAAATGGAGGGACGGAGATTGTTATAAATATGTTACGGATTATTACGATCCTTATTAATTTTCTATTTTTGGAAATTGTTTTCACATACGAGTAAGTAGAGGATTTATCTGTCGTATATTTTGTCGGGCATAATCTTAAAGCTTACCAGTAAGAGTAGCCGCATGGTCTAAGGCATGAACTGTCTTCGCTCACTCGGACGCTGGGCTCGTGGGTTCGAATCCCACTCAGGGTATGGAAGTGTTATGTGTGTATGCGTTCATTCTGTGATCGTGTTGTCCTTGCTACGAGCTGATCACTCGCCCAAGGAGTCCTACCGTCTGT